GGAAAAACCCTGACTGGTACAGCTTTGATGACTTTTAGTCCTGGCCTCCATTCTGCAGGACAATCTAATACAGACAGAGGAATGTGCATGTGACAGATGAATGCTTTCCTTGTTCCATCAAAGAAACCAGTCTGAATGCCCTGTCCTCACTGTACCATGGCAAGACTGTCCCCACCCTGGGTGGATAAAGCTTGACTTGCACTTTGTCCCCAACTAAGCCCAGTTGTTCCCTTTGCACGGTGACAGCATTGACGTCAACCCTCATGGCAGAAGAATTAACTGAAGCCCCAGGGGAAAGAGAAGCCAAAAAAAGAAAGATTCAATCCAGTAAGGCCAAAACCATTTCTTTTTATTTTGTAGGCACTCAGCAGATGTTAAGCTTTGCGGGATCTTGATAGTAACAGAGTTTCCCAAAATAGCACAATGAGATGTCAGCCTTAGCGGGACTGCAGCCAGGAAGCATCCCTTACACCATGCAGTCTGTTTTGATGTACATAGCTGAAGATGCTTTGTACCCCATATGCAGAGGCTGTGCAAGAATGGACCCCACAGCTATGGTCCCATTCTGGGCCCCATGTCGTCCTCAATTCCAGAGGTATGAACAGGGCCAATGAGGAGGGCCTGGAAGGAGCATTCAGCATCTTAGCCAAGGCAGAGAAGATGTAATCAAATCTACCTTCGCTCATTGTGTTTCACTACGATTGAGGAGGGTGGGAGAGAAGGTGGAGGAGGGGGGCAAAGACAGAAGAGAGAAGGAGCAGAGGAAGGACATGAAAAGATAGAAGGTAAGGGAGGGTGGAAGGAAGATTGGGAGGAAAGAAGGAATTAGAGAGAGAATAAAGGAGAGAGGAAGAGAGGGAGGGAAAAGGGAAGAAAGGGGGAAGGGAAAAAGAAAGGGATATCCAAGCATGGTAGAATGTGCTAGAAACACCAGCACTTCAGAGGCTGGGACAAAAGGGGTCACAAGTTCGAGGCCAGCTTGGGTTACAGAATGGCACCTTAGCCTTCTTGCCAAAAGATGAGGAAAGGGACTGTGTTCACTCTGGCCTGCATCAGCGCTGTCACCCCACAAGAGCCTTAGGTTTCACAACCTTCATGTGCACACTGATAAAGGGTCTCACGCACACAAGCACACACACACACACACACACACACACACACACACACGTACATAGCTGTACACGCATGCTCCATCTCTGCACTCACAGTAAGCAGAGCAGGGCATGGGACCACAGTGGTTCTTGGAGTTCCTCACTGTGGGCTTTTTGCTCAAAGATTGCCATCTCATTGGAGGACTCAGGGATCACTTCCCACCGTCGCCCTTGATGAATAGCAAGCTATGGGTACACACACACACACACACACACACACACACACACACACATACCCCTCCACTAGATCAGAGCCAGCAGGGTGGCTGCCCCTTGCTGGTGAGTGTTTGTTATCTAAGAAGCAGCACTCAGAGATACTGCCAAGCCATCCTGAACCATCTTCCGCACCCCTCAGATAAAGCTGGTTTCCAGCCCACCTCCTCCCCTGCTCCACACCATTAGCAGAACCCAAACAACCTCTTAGAGCTTTGATTTTTTTGTTGTTGTTGTTGTTGTTTACATTGAGACAAAATACTATTAGGGTGATGACACCCACTCAATTCGATTCATTTCATGTAGCATTAGATAGACCACAAAAACATGCCTACAGTGACTTCAGAGGGGGTTAATCCCTTACTGGGTTAATGCATGCTCTCCCTTCCAGCTCACCATAGAGCAGGAATGTCAAACAGAGGCACCATGCTGACTTGTCCATGTCAGCTGAAGTGAATGGGGGCATAATATTTGACACAGTCCTTCCTATCTGCAATTTCAACGCATCTGACCTCAGTCTTCATGCACTGCAGAACAACAGCTCTGCCTGCTTTTATCTCTTTTGCTTCCACAGCACTCAGAGCCATGATTTTGTTTTCTTGGACCATTTACTGTGGTGATTCAGGAAAGCACCTACTGACATAGTGGGATGCTGATGGAGGGTGTCTGGTAAAATGTTCCCTGACTCTCAGGCTGAAGAGACAGGTCAGTGTCCATGTAAGGACTTGAGTTTGGATCCCTAGAGCCCACAGAAAGCCAGAGGCACTAATGTGTATGCATAGCCTCAGCGTTCCTATGCCAAGATGAAAGCTAACAACAGGGGAATCACAAACAGGTATTGCCCAGCTATCCTAGTATATCTTGTGGCAAAGGGACCCTCTTTCAGAAAATGACTAGGCAAGGACTGATGCCCAAGTTTGTCCTCTGACATCCACACCTGTTCAGGAACATGCAAGCATGCTTGTGCATACAAACACATACATACAACTTTAAAAGGAATGAAACGTTTCCAACTCAATAAAAAGCAGTTTAACAGCTTTCTAGGCTGTAGAACATTACAAAGGAAATGGCTTTTACAACTAGACATACATTTCTAGGTGGTCCAAGATCAATGTACACAGGATCACATTCTCTCTGGAGGTGCTAGAGAAGGACCTGTTCTTGGCTTTTTCCTAGCGTCAGGTCATTCCTTGCCTTTGGACAACATAGACCTACTCTCTGCGTGGCATTCTGTGTGAGTTTCTGTGTATCTTGTCCTTTTTTATAAGGACATAATGACTTCATTTGAACTTGATCATCTGAAATGACCCTACTTTCAAATCTGGTCACAATCACAGGGACTAGAGGTTAGGACTTTGGTACCTTTTAGCCAGACAGTTTAACAAACAACAGTGACTGAATGGTATGACCTTCCTCCCAGCATCACTCAGGAGAGCTTTGATGCATAAGCACTACATCATCAGGGATCCTCGTCTCCAGCATCAGCATCCAAACTTGAAGTCTATGACTTGCAAGCTTTCTGCTCCACTGTTGTTGCTTGCCAGAAAGTGCACAGTGGCACACATGGCTGGCACACTGACTAGCACACATGCCAGTCAGCAAGTAGGGGTTGTTTCCAAATACACCTAGGACAGCAGGCAAGATTCCGGGACAGGTTGATGCCAAGGTCATGATTCTAGAAAGAGAGCACAATTGAAGGAACTCTCAGAGAGAGGTGAAACTATGATAAGATGGTGGAAGAATGTGGCCACCATGATTAAGAGATAGTGGGAAAGTCACTCCGCTAATAGGATAGGTGAAAGTGTGTGACCACAATTGGGAGGGAGCAGATACGTCACTCTGGCAAAGCAAAAAGGGTGAACTCATGGGGCTGGTGAGTGATGGCATAGAATCTTCTGGACCAATTCAAGGACATCTGGACTTGATCTAGTGAGATTTGAGGAGCCGGTGACCAAGATGCAGTCTAGAAGGTACTATTTTCAGAAGTCTTTTTTTCTGTTGAGTCATGCATGAAGGATGGGAAGTGAGTGGTGAGGTTTCGTGGAAGATGGAGATGTGAAGAGTTGTGAAGTTATAAGCATAGACCCACCTTCTCTTGCTCCCGTACCTGGAAGTCTTGGTGCTTCTACTGGACTATGCTCTTAAGGCACAGATGTTGTTTAAGAGCACTCGGTAGCCAGCATGGGGAAGACTGTGAGGGAGGTTCAGGAAATACCTACTGAGGTGAAGCAAAGACAGACAGATTCCTGGGAGTGGTCTGATTATAAAACAGGGGCTGGAAGATGGCTCAGTTGCTAAGATGCCTACAAGCACTCAGGAAGCACGAGGCCCGAGTTCAATCCTCAGAACCCACATCCAACGGGCTGGCCATTTACAAACAAGGTACTGCAGGGCCTAGGGCTTGCTGGCCAACCAAGGGAGCCTGCACAGTGAGCCATGCCAGGGAGGGATCCCATTTCAACACAGCCACAGCAACAATAACACTCAAGTATCTACTATGGCTTCACGAGTCCACGCACACATGTATGTCTGTATGCCCATGTACCTCCAGCCCCAACACACAGAATGAGACTTTTGGAATTAGGGCCTTAATGGTGATCTGCCAATTATTTACTACCACTGAAGATTCCAGACAAGCAATGTCCCATTCTTATATCTCAGAGCAGTTGCGGTTGTATTATATGCCTGGAGGAGAATTTAAAGACTAGATTATCCAATAGGCATTTGACTCAAGATTACTCAGCTCCTAGTAGCATGACTGGGGATCAGACAGTAACAGGTATGACTAACAACTGGCTGTGTCACTCAGCTTCCCATCACTGAACTAATCAGCCAATGAAGTTGACTTTAGCTTATGATTTCAGAGCATCTGGTCCATGCTCCCTTGGCCCTCTGGAGCATAGATTCAAAGGAGGGAGTCATGCTGGAGAAGGCTGACTCGCCTCATGGAGGTCAGCAAGCAAAAAGAAGGAGATAGGAGAGGCCAGAGGTCCCATCAAGTCCTTCTACGAGACTTCAACTGATGCCATTACCAACAGGACTGCAAGTCAAGCCTTCGCAGGGCACTGAAGGGTCAAAGTATTACATTGCACCACCCATTTAGTCCCCACAATCCAACAAAATGGAAGTAGCATTTTGAAATTCACAGTCAAGCTTGCTGTGACTGAGAAAGGTTAAGCGGCTTATTTTGGAGTCGGATAGTTGAATAGTGGACAGATGCAGTTGGATGTTAGATAGATGGTCGCCTGGACACAATGACTAATAGGTCTCATTCCATCTAATGCCAGCTCACAGGCTTTCCAACGCACCTAAAAATGTTTGTCCTACTTCCTTTGCAAACCTTGCCAAGACAGCTGTTAAGAATCCTTCCCTTGGGTAGGTCTGGTGGTGCATGTCTTTGATCCCAGCACTTAGGAGGCGGAGGTAGGCAGATCTCTGTGAACTGGAGGCCAGCCTGGTCTACAGAGTGAGCTCCAGGACAGCCAGGGCTATGCAGTGCACAGCCAGGCTTGTCTCAAAACCAACAACAAAACACACCAAAGGAAAAACAACAACAGCAAAACTAAAATACAACAAAACCCAGCAACTAACCAAAAAGAATCCTTCCTCTTCCTCACCCGATGTCTTGCTTTTCAGGAGAGAAGTACGAACTGCACGCGGGGACAGAGTCCACACCAAGTGTTGTCGTGCATGTGTGCGACAGCGACATGGAGGAAGAGGAGGATCCAAAGACTTCCCCAAAGCCAAAAATCATCCAGACCCGGCGTCCCGGCCTGCCACCCTCTATGTCCAACTGAGCGCCACCATGACAATATGCATCTCCTCTATTATGCTTCCCCATTGTGATTTGTCCAAAACATTAATTGCCTTTAAGTCCCTGGGTGTTTGCGATCCCTTCCTTGTAATTAAGCCTCTCGGACAAAAGGGCTAGGAAAAGATGACATGTCTCCCGATCAACTCATACCCATCAACGATAATCCATTATTTAGAAAGTTCTAGAGAAAAGAAAAAAGGTAGTATTTTCTTATTAAGCAATCAGGACAGCCTATATCTCTGTTCTATCATGTTGATCCAAGTCATTGACATCAGTAACAAATGGCATTTATGTTGTTTGTGCGATGCTCCAGCGGGGTGTGTGTGTGTGTGTGTGTGTGTGTGTGTGTGTGTGTGTGTGTGATGTTATATTTTTTCCTGGCCACTTATATAGGACCATAGTAAACTTGATTTTGACTGCATGGGATCCCCCTATCTGTCTTACCCAGTCCTCTGCATCCCGACATTCCCAGGACATTGCACGATCACCAGCATTTATTTTGATGATTTGAGGGTACACCCCACCTCACGGTATCCCAGCCGTGTCCCCAGCCCCATCCCATTCAACAAGTCTGGGAATCACTTTCAGTTTGAGTCTATACATCACATAGCTCTGTCCAAATTCCTGGAAGCAAAATTGAGCTTGGCCCCAAAGGTACCCCTCAGTAGGTTCTGAACACCACTACCACATAATGTCACTGGGGAGGCGTGTCCAGGTGACAGAGACCGATTTCAGACAAACCTGTTTATTATAAAAGTCTCATGGTTTCTGAACGATTGCCCCCACCTCCCACCTCTTTGTATATTTGTACAGATGTTTGAGCTGTGCGTTGAAAATCTGGATTTTTTTTTTTTATTTAGTGATTGTTCAACCACTAACTAACTGCTTAGCGACATCATGCCTGTGTTGCTTCTGAAGGCATTCTGATTCTAACGTAGGTAATCTGACGCTATCACATGCTCTTGCCGTTAATGCTTAGTTGAAAGAGGGTACAGCAATGTCTCGTGTCGATATATAACTGACCAGCAACCTCTTTGCTGTCAAGACCACCTGTTTTTAAACAAAGATCCAAGTGTCAGTTATAACCAACTTGGATGATGCTAAATCCCAGAACGCAGACACAGCTGAGCATCTCAGAGCACAAAAGGATGATGGGTAAACGGATAGTACTTCCACTCATCCAGTGCCCGTGTGCTCAAAGGTTCTTTGTTTTTGTTACGTGTGACTTTTGTATTTCTCTAGCCCAAAGTGCATTACGGAAGATACACCTACAGAACCATACTTTCCGCTCCATGTGTCAAGCCTCATCAATTCCTGTTCATTAGCAAGTCATTTTGGATGCAAATACAATTTACCACAGAATGGGCTAGTCCTTTCATGACCTAAGCCTCAGAAAAACACACAAGATCACTAACACAGCCACCCGATGGAGGGATTATTGTGGTTTTTTGATTAAGGTGTATGCTAGTTTCAACAGAAACTTCCAACCTAGACTGATCTCTCAGAAAAATTTAAGTCCGTTCTACTGTGAATATAGCAATATAGTACTGGCCACAGTACAGTACGTTTGAAACCAGGACAGTGTTGCTTGTGGAATCCCAAGTTTCCATGTGGAAAATAAGTCTCCTCTTCAAAATCAGATCCAAGGAGTGTACGATAAGCAAATGCTCTGACTTTCCTTTGTTGTGGAGGGATTTGGGTTTTTCATTAACTACAAATAGTGGAGAGATGGTGCCCTCTAGTGGTGGAAACATTGAACTCAGCTGTACGGACGGATTGATTATAAGTCAACTAACTACCTAGGGCTGGCTTTCTAATCCACATTATTTTTCAGGAAGCAAGATCTGAGGGGGGGGGGATTCTAAATGTGTGAAAGCCTTGGAAATAATTTGTGTTTCCAAATAGTGGTAGCAGAAGTTTCCTGTTTAGAAAAAGTTGACATGACTACATTGTGTAGACATTAAAAACTCAATGTTAGAGATGACCCAGGTCTTAGTAAACTGTATTGCCATGTGTAGATGTTTACCTGCTGTAGATCAAGGGATTCTCCTGCTAGGTTGAGCATGGGGAGAGGGGAGGAGGAGCTTTCCCCGGGAGAAATGAGAAAGCCGTGGGAAAGTCAAGATGGATCGCCTCAACACTTCCATGACGCACATTGTGCAAACCTCCTTTGCGCTCTTTTAAGTTTGAAACATTTTAAACGAAGGGGAAGGTTTCCACCAACTGAATCATTTGTGCACGTGTACAGCTCAAAGAGCTTAGAGTTCAAATATATCTGGTGAATGAATGTCTGTCTGGTGTCATTTCTGGTTCGTCTGCCCGAGTTGCATTCGTATTCCTAAGGTGGGGGGGGGGCTGAGAAGTGCCACCTAACAGAGTTTTTCTAAGAGATCACCAGTGTGTGTAAGTAACCCAGTGGAATTCTCCCTAGAAGAAATGGGAGGGAAGCTGGGTAACTGCCATCTCTTGAAGGAGGAGTTATTTGAGCCAGACTTGGAGAGATGGCTTAGGATGATAATGGGGTTGGAAAGGTTTGTTTACCATTTACTTCAAGCATATTGACTCCCAGAGGCAATTTTGAATGTGCTAAGAGCATTTAATGTCATGCTGTTATGGTCTTTAAAACACTAGGGTGGGGGGAGCCCTCTGAAAGAGAAGTTTTAAACAGCAGAATCTAAAAGATAAACTTACTAGGTGTCATTTCAGTCAGAGCATCTGTCCCCCAAGTAGCACAAGTATGAGAAAATTCAAAAAGAAAATCCCATACTGGGAGAACATACTTAATCCACATGGAGTAGTTAAATAACTCTAATACAGTTCCTCATGTTGTGGTGACCCAACCATAAAATTATTTTCATTACTACTCCATAACTGTAATTTTGCTAGTATTATGAATCATAATGTAGGTATCTGTGTTTTCTGGTGGTATTTTTTGGGGGAAGGGGTGTCCTGATCCACAAGTTGATAATCACTGCTCTAAAAGCTAGAAGTAAAAGGCAGGCAACACTTTCTCTTTAATGATTAACCTCCACGGGGCAATTCCCATATATACACGGCTTACCTATCTGAATGACCCATAAACAATAAAAGACACTCCACCTCACTATTTGCCAGTCAGGACAAACCCAAAAGGTAAATATTCCAGGCATATATCAGCACAGTGGTTGAGGTGAAGTGTGTGAGAATGGGGAGTGTTGGTAAGGTCACAGAGGAGGCCTGAGTGAAGACAGCTCTCATCTGAGACACTGAGCTACTAGCCTGTGTGCATGCCTGTCTGGAACTCTTCCACTCTGAAGGACATAGAGGAAAGCACTCACAGCAATTAAAAATGTATACAAGGATGTCCAGGGCTGTGAGCAGGACCCATTAACTGGATAAAACTCAAATGTCCTTCAACTGTAGAATGCATAAATAAAATACAATGTGTGTAACAGCATAAATATATTTCAGGGTTATACTGTTGGCCTATATATGTATCATGACAGAATAAACATATTGTTCTTATTAAGGAGTTGAGAATCATGCTACAGGGTCATGAAAACAACTCATCAGGTTAAAAACCAACTTGTCAAGAACTCTGAATTTGGATCATAGAACCCCCGTGTACAACCCGGACACTGTGGTGATGTCTCTAATTCCGGTTAACACAAGATGGAAGTAGGAAAACCCCCTAGAAACTTCAAGAGCAGCTAGACTGGAGTACACATTGCAGTGGCAACAGGAGAGATCCTGCCCCCAAAAGCAAGATGAAATCAACTGACAACAAAGGTTGCTCTCCAACATGCAGAAGTGTGGTCCATGGCAAGAGTATGCTCTCACAGAAAACTACACACACACACACACACACACACACACACACACACACACACACACACACACACCATGTACATACAAAGAGATGTTTTTAGGAAGATAGGAATTATAACCAAGGTTTTCTTGAGGGAGGGGGTGTTGATGGAGCAGGGACATAGGGGAGCTGTCCAGGAGACTGCATACTTTATACGTCTTGATTTGAATACCCATACATAAAATTTATTTAACAAGTGATACACCAAGAAAGTTAGCTTCCATCCAAATCAAACCATCATAACAATGAGAAGGAAGGAGCCACTGATTGTAAATGGGGGCTGAGGAGGTCTTCACATGTAGCGCCCGCACTGCAATCTGTTCCATTAATCAGGAGAAGGCCAGAGATGGAAATAAAAGACAAGACAGTGGGCCATTTGTGCAGCTGGAATGCTGAATGCCGAATGCAGTTTATTGAGGGGATGGTGTGGGCTTATACACTGACTCACAGCACAGTGGGAAACCATCCAAGGTCAAGAGTGCAAGCTCCTCCGCAGCAAATGTGTGCTAGCAGATCAAGAAGAGCCAAGAACTACTTCAGTGCAAGATGTTCCAGCCAACAGCGTCAGGCTTGCTCAAGGTGCCTCGGGGGCCCATGCAGGGCCCTGCACTCACACTGACAGGCCAACTCCTGCAAATATGCATTTAACAGAATGTGAAATTAATATGAATATTTACATTAGTATTTAATAGAAGCCCAGAATGCAAGCACAGAGACACCATTCACCCAAGGAACGCTTACACTGCCTGCCCTGTGGGGATGTCACAGGAAACAGACTCATGTCCCAAATTCTGACCTTGGAGTAGAGTTAAAAAAAAAAAAAACCCACCAACATCTCACTGTGAGAACAGAAACTCAGAGTGGAGGTCCATGGCAGAAAGGCTGAGAAGCCACATGGGTCTTCATTACCTTTCTGTTAAATCCCGTCAAAAGACACTTAGCAAGGAAGAGTTTATGTAGGTTCACAGGTCAAGATTGTGGTCCATCACTGCAGGGGGGGGGGCTCACAGCAGCAGGAGCTGGCGTAACCAGTGATGTGACACCAACGAGAAGCAGAGAGTAATGGATACCTGTGTTCAACTAGCTTTCTCTTTTCTATTCAGTCCAGCACCAAAGCTTAGGGAATAGCTCTGCCTACTTTTAGTGTGAAACCCTTCTCAGTTACCTAAGCAATGTAACCCCTCCTAGTCATGCCCAGAGACTAAACGGTCCTTCACAGGTGTACCTGGAGGTTGGTCTCCTAGGTGATTCCAGATTCAGTCAAGGTGATAACACTAATTACCACTCATATGATGCATGGAAGAACTCAGAGACGAGCACTGTGAGAGGCAGAGTAAAGATCATGAATTCGCAAAGGCTGATCATATTTGAAAACCCTCAAGGATGT